GATACATACATACATACATACATACATACATACATACATACATACATACATACATACATACATACATACATACATACATACATACATACATACATACATATACACATACATACAAGCCCATCATAATGAAGGGGGGGGGGTGGAAATCTGGGTTTGGGCAGGTGGATATTTTCTGGAACGTTCTCCGCTTCGGGCGTATAGGAGGGGGGAGGAAGAAGGAGGAGGGAGGAGGAAGGAGGGGAGAGTGGGTCTGAAAAGAGTTAGGTCCACTTAGCCACAGGGGTTGAATCACGTGTAAAAACAGACGCTTGTGACAAACACGTGACGTCATGTGCTTCCATAAAGAGCCCACAACCGTATATAGAATGTACCTTGTTAGTTCTAAAAATCAAGGTCTCATCGTCCTTAAATACTTCTCAAAACGAAATAAATCTAGCTTCTGGAAAACCTAAAACAACACAAAAACAAAACATGGAAAGGGTGGGGGAGGTGAAAGCCCCAAGGTGGGTGAGGGGAGGGGGGTGGGATTGGTTTAGCGTGGGTGGACATTTTCCGGTACATATGCCGCCTTGACGGACTTTGAAAAGCACATGAAATAAAAAAACAACAACAACACAACAACAGACGATTGTTGACAAACACGTGACGTCATGTGCTCCCACAAAGAGTTCACCTACCCTACCGAGACACCTTGGTGGTTCTAAAAGTCAAGATTGAATCATCTTTATAGTTACTTTCCAAAACAAAATAATTAGGCTACTGAAAAAAATATAATCCTAACCTTTTCCTTAAATTAAAAAAAAATATTTAAAAACCGCCCCCCCCCCCCCCCCATTTCTTGGACCTCACTCTAACGAGACCCCCTCTTCCCTCCTCTCTCCTCCTCCCTCCTCCCGTCAAACACTACCCGAGGCGGAGAACATGTGTGAAAATGTCCACCCACGCTACAATACACCCCGAGTTCGAAACCTTGCTCGTGGCGCACCTAACTCTCACCCCCTCCGTCATCCCTCTCTCCTCCTCCCTTCCCCTTTTTCCCTCTCCCACACCGCCCGAGGCGGAGAACGTTTCCGAAAATGTCCACCCACACCAGACAGCCCCCCCCCCTCATATACACACACATACGCCCCGACGCCGTTCATTTTTTACCTCCTAACCCCCCTCCCCCACACACACACAAACACATACAATACACCCCGAGTTCGAACCCTGACAGCAACAAAAAGTTTTTTTTCTCTAATTTTTGTTTCTACATTCACCTCCTTTCCTGCTCTGTAACCACGTTCTGATCGAAAGCCATACGTGTCCAGTGACGTCCGCCTGACAGGAAAGGGTTAAGGATTAAGACCATAGTGTTATCATATCTCCGCCCCGGGCAGTGAGACTGTGGGAAGAGGCGGGTGGTGAGGTGCGAACTTGTAACAATCACATTATAACTCCGATGACGCAATACTCTACTGACATAATAGTTGGGCCCTGAAAGGAGAGGTAGAAATTTTTAAAATACACAAAGGCAAATGTGTGACGACACGTTGAAATCAGGCCCTCGTCAATTTTTGGGCACGTGGATTTATTGGTATCATCTGAAAGCTTATTCATTTGCCTTGCTTTTTTTACATAAAAATACCTATTTATCTTCAATAGAAGTCGATATATTTGCCGTTGAAAGAGGTGGGGATAGCATGGTTTCAGGGGTAAAATTATCAAGAAAATGGAAGCCAAACTATGGTAACTTCTATAGCGTGAGAGTCCCTGAAAAACATTTGTATTGACATATTTTGTGCCTTTGAACAACCTTTCTCGGTAAAATTCACATGGAAATGTGTTTATATATGGACGAAAAAGGTGTTAAGCCAAAAACAAAATTCGATAAAAACTAACAAACTGGGGGAAAATATCTGTTTCTTCGATTTCACTATTTTGACGAGTGCATGATTTCACCACGATGCCTCACAAATGATTAGTCCCCCTCCCCTTCCACAATCTCTCCTCCCTCACCCCCACCCTCAAAAAGAGTCACGTGGATTAGGACAAAAAGCAAAAAATTGAAATTGTTCCGCAAAAAGACTAGATCGGTCAGCCAGTTGCAGATAGCGTCACTTTTGAGGCTGGACAGTGTAGAGCGCACATCTTTATGCTTGTTGCCTGTTGCTAAATTTTGAGCGTTTTAAAATTCCGGTGTTCAGAAACATTGTTGAGTGATTTCAGCTGGACTTTCAAGTTCTTGTCTTTTTCGCACGACGTCAAAAGGACAAGCGACTCGCTTGTGTACATCTGTGCGTTGTGTTTTCCCTCATCTTGGGCGCTGTTTGCCCCAGTCTTTGGTCAAGTCTACGTCTCCCACCATGTTGCGGGGATCTCGATCTTCACCAGTCATGGAGTCATTGACGCACGCTTAGTCCAAGACAACTCGAGGGGACAGCGGAACAGTCAAAGGATTCTGGAAGTAGCCATGCATGACAGTGTGTTCTGGTCGTCAAACCAGGATAAAGCTAGCAGTGACAGTGTGTTCTGTTCATCAAACCCAGACACACGCTGTAACGCCAGTGTACTTCATACATCGAACTCAGACGTAGCCAGTAATGGCAGAGTGTATCCATCAACAAAGGCAGATAAGGATAGGCCTATAACGTCCACTGGAACAGTATCTTCCGATTCCAGAAAACGAAAACGTCAACAACATCATGGAGATAGTAAACGACGTATCACGTCTAAGGCCTGTACTGGCGGTGTGTTCCCTGCACCCAACACAGCCGTAGCCTCGAGTGACGTCATGCCTCCTTCTACAACTACAAACAACACGGGAGTGACTGTGCAAGAACTAAAGTATTCCCTACCATTTCGAAAAAACAAAAGCGAAGACAAAGAAAGAAACGAACGAATGGAGACATGTTCTGCCCGGGAGAAAAGCTGGGCCACGGGAGCTTTGGCTCTGTCTCCACATACAGAAACAAGGAAACAGGGAAGGAATACGCCGTCAAAGTCATGAGGAACTGTCGGGATAAAAGACTCCGTAGAGTATTGAGTGAGATCGAAACTTGTCAACGCTACAAGAACTGTGAAAACATCCTTAATTTCGTGGACTTCTATAGGACAGGAGATACGTATTTCCTGATATTCGACAAAATGGCAGGTGGTGATCTAAGAGCTATGTTATCGTCAACTCCGTATCTGAGCGAGTCCCAGGCTTCACGGGTGACCGGCGCCGCCGCCCGAGCGCTCCTGGCACTTCACAACGACGGAGTGGCGCACAGAGACCTAAAACCAAAAAACATTCTCTGCCACACCCTAGGAGAAGTCTCCCCACTAGTCCTGTGTGACTTTGGCGTAGCCAGTGAACCCCTTTCTCAACGTAACCCCTCCAAAGAGGACATAACCAAGCACGTCCTGAAGTCAGTCGTTGGCTGTCCGCAATACTTGGCACCAGAGGTCGCCGGTTTGCTGTTACCCCCGTCACAGAGAAGAACAGCGCCCTACGACACCCGCTGCGACATGTGGAGCCTTGGAGTTCTCATTTATGAAATGCTCTTCGACTGTCAGCCCTTTGTCGGTCACTGTTCTCAGCATTCGTAGACTACGGTCCGCAATTGCCGGGACTGCTTCCAAGACATGTTCCCCAAGATTTGCAGCGGCAACTATTCCATCCCTACAAACACTCGCGAGTCCTTGTCTGACACTGCCGTGGATTTGATCCGGCACCTCCTTGTCGTGGACCCCCAAGACCGTTACTCAGCCGCCGAGGTCTTGAAGCATCCGTTTGTGACTGCACACAAGGACGATGACGTCACTAGTACCAACTGTCTAACAGCGTTGCCATGACAACCGTTATTTGAGTGATACTGACACAATTTTGGCAAGAGTATCCCCAGTTTCTTTTACATTTCTCGAACAATACATGTATCTCTTTCAAAAGACACACACTTCGGATTGTATTACGACATCTACACTGATGTTGGTGGGTTTTTCTGAGAGTTTGTGTCTTCGTTGTTTTCACCAAAAAAAAATGATGTTTTGGAGAGTGTTTGTGTATGAGTGTGAGCGCATATGTGTGTCTTTGTGTGTCTGCGTGTGTGTATGTATATATGTGTGTGATTGTGTCTCTGAGTGTGTGCGTGTCCGCACGTGAGTGTGTGTCCGCACGTGAGTGTGTGTGTGAGTTTGTAAGGATTGTTTGTCGGAGCATGTGTATCTTCGCTGTTTTCATTTTAAGAATTATGACGTGTGGAGGAGAAGATGTGGGGGAGCGCGATGTGGGGGAGCGCGCGCGCGTGTGTGTGTGTGTGTGTGTGTGTGTTTGAGTATGAGTGTGCCAACCTGAGTATGCATGCGTGCACGCGCGCGTGTTTGTGTGTGTGTGTGTGTGTGTGTGTGTGTAAGTGAACATACGCACGTGAGTATGCGTGTGTGTATGTGTGTTTGTACGTGTATGTGTGTGTGTATGTGTATGTGTGTATGTGTGCGTGTACATGTACGCGCATGTGTGTGTGTGTGTGTGTGTATCTTATCTTACCATATGATTGTGTGCCTAACATGTGTGATTGCTGATTGTGTTGACGTTTTAAAGTTTTTGCTTATTTTTCTTCTTGTTTTGAAATTTATATTTCTTATTATATTAGTATTTCTGGTTCTTTTACCATTTCTTAATAAAATGCCTCTGGCTAGAAGCAAATTTACATGGTTGTTCTTTTATTGTTGTTGCTGATGTTCTTTTTGCTGTTGCTGTTGTTGTTGTTGTCGTTGTTGTTGTTGTTGTTGTCTCTTTCTCTTTCTCTAACTCTCTCTCTCAAACTCTCTCTCTCTCTTACTCTCTCTCTAACTCTCCTTCTCTCACTTTACCTTCCCCCC